TCCTCCTTCTTGCCCTCTACAGGCGGAGCAGTGCAGAATGGGTACCCTAGACCCAGCCAAGGTCATCGGAGCAGCCGTGCTGTGCTGGCACGGCGTCCCACTGCTTCTCCCCCACCCCTTCCCCCCACTCCCTCCCCCAACCCCTCCCTTGATTCTCCTCTACAGGCGGAGCAGTGCCGAATGGGTACCCTCGACCCAGCCAAGGTCATTGGAGCCGCAGTGCTGTGCTGGCACGGCGGCGTGTCATTGGAGGAGAAGGCGCTGACGGTGCAGACAGCTGGCGGCAAGGCGGTGCTGCTGGTGGTGCAGAGCCCGCGGCAGTACGTGCGGTCCGTGACCGGGGCGTTCCCGGGGGTGACGTTTGGCATGACCATCTCGCAAGCTATCAAGGATTTTCTCAAGAACGACAGCAACACCAAGTAAGAGAGTACGGGGAGACCGTAGGTGTTGGCTATTCAAGGAGTTGGTATGACATTTCCGGGGGTGACTTTAGGCATGCTCAGAACGACAGCAACACCAGGTAAGCCTTGCTTAGTGATGAGGTAGGCCCACAGCAGGGATGGCAAGGCGGTGCTGCTAGTGGTGCAGACAGAAGGGATATAGACAGCAGGGATGGCCCCTCGACCCCTGGGTCTCCATGCCCAAGAACCCCACCGTCACCAACGAAATCCTCAAACCCGACATCACCGCCCCCGGCCTCGCCCTCCTCTCCTCCACCAACTCCCTCTCTCCTTCTATCCCCCATCCCCTTAAGTTCTTACCCTCTTCCTCTCTCCGCTTCCCCTCCCATCCCCTTCCCATGTCCCCCCAGGCCCACGGTTTCTATTTCCCCCATCCTCTACACACTCCCCAAGGGCACGCTCGCGCCAGTGATGGCCTATTTCTCCTCCTCCGGCCCACCACTCGACCCGTGGATATCCATGCCCAAGAACCCCACCGTCACCAACGAAATCCTCAAACCCGACATCACCGCCCCCGGCCTCGCCCTCCTCTCCCTCACCCCCACTTCCTCTCTCCTTCCCTCCCCCGTCCCGTTGCGTTTTCCCCCCTCTTTCCATCTCCTCTTTCCCTCTCCCTCCCCCCATCCCCCAGGCCCACAGTTTCTATTTCCCCAATCCTCTACACACTCCCCAAGGGCACGCTCGCGCCAGTGATGGCCTATTTCTCCTCCTCCGGCCCACCACTCGACCCGTGGATATCCATGCCCAAGAACCCCACCGTCACCAACGAAATCCTCAAACCCGACATCACCGCCCCCGGCCTCGCCCTCCTCTCCTCCACCAACGCCGGCAACGCCGCCTCCCCCGGTTTCAAGCTCGACAGCGGCACCTCTGCTGCGGCTTCTGTTGCCGCAGGCGTTGCAGCTTTACTGATTCAGAAGTACCCAAGGTGGACCCCGGGAATGGTGAAATCCGCAATGATGACGTCAGCTTCGGTGAAGGATATGTGGGGGAAGGGGATCCGCTCGTGGGATTGGACATATGCCTCCCCGTGGCAGTTCGGCTCGGGGCATATTACCCCGGGAAAATCGATAAATCCGGGGTTAGTTTACGACGTCCGGGCCGCGAACTACATCAATTTCCTCGCGGGGTTGGACGAGAAAAAGGCCAAGGCAGCTTTTCCGGCAGCGGCGCTCTCCCCTATCGAAACATACAACCTGAACCAGCCGAATATTGCTATGGGGAGGATGAAAAAGACGGTGAACGTGACCCGGTGGGTTACGAACGTGGAGTTTAAAACCTCGACGTATAAGGTCTACCTGGTCAAGCCCGATGGGGTGAGCGTGTCGGTGGCCCCGTCGAAGCTGACTCTGAGGCCCGGGCAGCGGGCGGCGTATAACGTGACGATTATTCCCAAGGCGATTCAGAAGAACTTCACGTTTGGAAGCATCACGTGGAAGGACGGTGTTCATGAGGTGCGGAGCGTGCTTGCGGTACAACCCATTGAGATCAAATCCAAGTGAGGGTCGCTGTGAGGGCCTGTAACAGTATCAGGGCTAGGGTTAGGGCTAGGGGGTGCAGCAGACCAACTTCACGTTTGGGAGCATCACGTGGAAGGGCGGCGTGCATGAGGTGCGGAGCGTGCTTGCGGTACAACCCATTGCGGTCAAATCCAAGTGAGGGTCGTTGTGAGGGCCTGTAACAGTATCAGGTGTGCATGAGGTTCGCAGCATGCTGGCCGTGCAACCCATTGTGAAGTGATCTCGACTTGAGGGATAAGGGGGATGCTGTGAAGCAAGGGTCCAGAGCAGTGCAAGGTGAGGGATGTGGATGAGAGGGATAGGAATGGATGATTCAAGGGAGGGACGGCGTGCATGAGGTGACTATTGAGTCGACTCAAAAGGGGCCAGAACAGTGCAAGGTGAGGGATGGGGATGAGAGGGACGGGAGTGGATGATTTGAGGGAAGGTCGGCGTGCATGAGGTGCGCTGCGCAGGTGCTGGCGGTGCAGCCCATTGTGGTTCATGGCGGGGTGGAAGCAGTGTGCGCAGTGGTTTTGAGGTGTGGGAAGTGGTGGCCGGGCAACCTGGAGTGGTGACGGTGTGTGGCGAGGCAAGCCTTTAGAGGCAAGGCAAGGGGCAAGGTACTGTATGAGGGTGTGGAGGGCAGGGAGGTTTAGGTTTAGGAGGGGGGTAACCAAGGAAATAAAAAGGGTGGTGTTGTAGGGTGAGGTGGGGAGGGGTGTTTGGTGGGGTGGGGTGGGGCTAGGTGCAGGAGGTGTGGTGCATGGTCCTGTGGAGCTTGTGATAAGTGATCGGGTTTCTGCTCTGTATGTCAGTCGTGGTTCAGTGTGGTCATGGGTGTGAGCTGGAATGTGAATGTCCATTGGTGCTTTCGTTGGGCTGAGCTGGAAATGACCGTGGTTTGGAATTTTCAGAGCTAACTGATGAGCTCTCAACTCTTCGTTGAGTGACTTACATTTGCTAACCTGTAGTGCTCATGTTAAAGGGCTGCTAATTGAGGTTAACTGCTGGTATATGTTGCCCGCAATACTTTATTATATTAATTGTTCCTTGTTTGTGTTGAAGATCATGCGTTCTACAAATCTTGCACATCTTAAGTTAAGCTCATCTCTGGGCTACACGGCCTTCGCTATGTGCAGCGGAGGATGTCCTGAATCGCGGATGTCAATCAGCCACAAGCAAAAGGGTTGCCACGTGTCGAGGTAGTTACATCGAGGTCGTCATGCACATTGCGGCCAGACGGTCAACCGTCACACATCAACCCGTCAGCGACAGCACGGTCGTTCGCCCTTGTTCGCCGCAATTTTGCGAAAGCGGGAGAGTCGAGTCGTGGCTTCGCGTGTCAGTCTCTTGGCCAATTATGTCACAAGTCACCCTCTGATCTTTTTAGCAGAGCTGCGCGCCATGCTGATTGAAACCCAGGGGCGCTTCGGCTGGCCCCTCGTTTCCGCCAAATTTTCAGTCACAGTCACAGACTCGTTGGATGGACGGACCCGAGGAAAAAGAGAAGTTTTTCAGTCAGGCTCGTCCCCCCCTCCCCGCATTGGCCCCTTCCCCCCTTCCGTGTACTATCCAGCATTCCTGGGTCCCCCTTGCCTCACTTGCACCCGCACACCCACCCAAAACCCAGCAGTTTCCCCCCTCCCGCGGTTCCTATTTCCCCCCAAACCCCATTTTCCCCCTCCCTTTTCCCCTTTTCACTCCGCCCCTACAGTGAGACCCCGCATCGCTGGTGGTCTTGGGGTTGGGTTGGATCTACTGTACTGCTTCGCAGATGGCTTCCCCTCGTATAGTACGGTTGAGTACGTTCTGTCGCGTTTTGAGACGTTTTGACTGTAAGCAAAGCGGTTCATAGTCTGTATCTGAGTTCTGGAACCCGTGTGGAGTACTCTCTGAGTTCTGAGTTCCTACTGCTAACTCCGTGAAGGGCACAGCAGCGGCGGTCCAGGTAAAACCACCACACTGCACACAGCCGAAGGGTTCTTACCTTCCTGGGACTTCTGTTGCAGTTGCTTTGTTCGAGTTTGCGGCTAGCTTCACTAATAGGCCTTGTCTTCCAGTTCGAGTGTACGCAACGCGTGGCGGTCTTAAGCACATTAGTAGTAGGTAATTAAAGTCCGAGGTAGCTAAAATGTGTATTTATTGCTCCATATCATGCGACCTGCTCTTTGTTAGAACCGTCGGCGACGTCTCCTCTATTAGTCCCAAACTTTCCTTAAATCTGTAACAGACTTAACATCATTCCCTTCACATCGCAAGATTAGACTCTCCTTCACCCACCATGCGCCGGTCAGGATCTTCTGCATCCAGCGGCAGCCGGCCGTTGGATGAAGACGACGAGCCGATGCACGAAGACGACATAAACGGGATCATTGAGCGCCTTCGCAACCAGCACTGGGCATCGGCGAATCAAATGTCTCGAACTCAATCGTTAACGCCCAATCCAGCCGCTAGTTTTACGTCCGGCGACGACTACGATCGTTATAGCGACAGGCACGGCGACAGGTTAAGCGACAGGTTGGGCGACAGTCTAGCCGACAGACTAAGCGACAGGTATGGAAGCAGACCGACTACACCCCGGTCCGGAGATAGAGAAGCAACACGTGTCGGTGACAGACTCGGCGACAGGTTAGGCGACACGTACGGCGACAGGTTAGGCGACAGGCTGAGCGACAGGTTGAGCGACGCGGCGTCGCTGCCATTGCGGACGCAGACGAGCGCGTCGGTGCACCTTTTATCGAGTGTGATTCACCAGGAGGTTCTTCCCGCTCTTCTGAACGACAAGACGACGACAGCAGCATATTTGAGCGATAAGGCGAGGGCTAGTCGGCAGGTGAAGTGGAAGGATTTGGAGCGTGATGGTGTAGGGAGGTCTAGTAGCGTGGTGGTTAGCGAAGATGCGGACGAGTATGCAAAAGCCGGCCTGGATTACCATCGGAGAACGATAAGCAACAGCGGGATTCTTAAATCGGAGCAGCGACCAGGGACTCCATCCTCGTTAGTGGCTTCTTCAAGTTCGTCCACAGTGGCATCCGCTATGGAGCAGACGCGTATCGTGGCGAAGGAAGCGGTAAGAGTTGACTCGATAGTGGAGGATCTTCAGGAGCAGCTTCGCCGGGCGCAGAACGAAGCTTCCGCCGCGCAAGACGAGTGCGCGGAGTTGCGCCGCGGGCTGCAGTCCGCCTGGGAAGACGTGCGGGAGCTTGAGGGAAAGTTTGAGGGGCAGCGGCGGGAACTGGAGGCGCAACGGCGGGATGCGGAGGCGGAGCGGCGGGAGAATGAAGCTCGGCGGAAAGTGCACCTTGAGGCGCAGGAGCGGGAGCTTCAAGAGCGGTGGCAGGCGGGGATGCGCCAGCAGCGGGAGCAGTGGCAGGCGCAGCTGCAATCGGCGCAAGATGACGCGCGGATGCTCCGCGCGGAGAACGACGCCCTCCGGGGAGGGGCGGAGCTTTCCCGGGAAAGGTTGGGCTCCGCTCTGGCGGAAAGCCGCGAGTTGGAAGACGGGCTGCGCGCAGCGGAGGCGGAGAGGCGGAAGGCGGAGGAAAGTTTTAAAGAAACAAATGCGCAGATGGTGGAGTTGCGCGCAAGTGCGGAAGAGATGCGCGCGCGGCTGGTGAAGGAGCAGGAACGCGCGGCGGACTTGGCGCTTGAGAACGGGAGGCTGCGCGGGGAGGTGCGCCAGTTGGCAAGCGCAAACGCGGAGCTCCGGCAGCTGGAGGAGGCGGCGCAGGCGGCGCAGGCGGAGCTGCGGAGAGCGCTAGAGGAATGCGCGGAACAACGGGAGCAGCTCCGCGCGCTTGGCGCCAAAGGCGCGCAAACTCAGAAAGAGCTGGCGGAAGCGCGGGAGGAGAACGCGGAGCTTCTGGGGGAGCTGGCGGAAGCTAAGGGGAGAAACGAGGGCCTGCAGAAGCGGCTGGACGCGGCGGTTCTCTCGCGCGGAGGCGGAGGCGGAGGCAGCGTAACGGGCGCGGATAGCCTCCGTGTGGGCGGAACGGCGGGAGATGGGGAGGCGGTGCAGGCGGTGAAAGCGGAGCTTGCTGTTGTTGTCAGGAGAAACGAACAGATGCGGAGAGACCTGGAGCTTGCCTGTAGGGAGATCAGGCACTGGCAACGGCAAGCCGAGTCGCAGGTGAAAACGCAGGAGGGCGGGGCGGAGAGGAAGGAGGGTGAAGCCTGCAGCTGCGGCGGGTTCGGCGGCAGTAGCCCGGCTAGCAACGCCTCCCCCAGGCTGGCTCGGCCCGGAGCAACCAGGCTCGGCAACCTACGCAGCCCCGGCGGCGGTTCGGTCGTAGGCTCGGAGGTGGGAAGCCCGGCGGCAGGCGGCGGTGTTGTTGAAGGGGCTACTGGGGGAGGTTTATCTGGGGGTAATAAGGGCCCCATGGATTCGCTTCTAGTGCTGCTGCGGCAGGAGAACGAGCGGTTGCGAAAGTCGCTTAAAGAAGCAGAGGCGCGAATAGAGGCTCTTAACGCGGATGTCGTGACGGCGGAGGCAGCATTGGCAGCAGCCCAGTCAGCAAGGGACGCCGCTGAGTCAGCGAGAGTGGCTGCTGAGTCAGCAAAGGAGGTTGCAGAGGCGGGGAAAAAGGTGGCGGAGGAGGGGAGGCTGCAGGCGGAAGAGGGGCGGCGGAAGGCGGAGGAGGGGAGGAGGCGGGCGGAAGAAAGTGTGCTGCGGAGCATTTTGGGGGAAAGGGAGAGGAGAGAGGCGGAGAAGGGGCGGCAGGGCGGAGGGGAGAGGGCAGAAGATGGGGGATATACATATAGGATGTGTAGTACCGTAAGTTCCCCTTGCGGCCACAAGGTTGCTGGTTCAGCTGCAGCGGGATATTCCCCAGTGAGTGCATATGAAACAGGAATTTCCAGGGTAAATAACTCTGGCGAAGGTGTTTCTCGTAGTTTGCTGGAGCTGGCGTGCCGACCGCTGGAGCGCACGATTGGTATTCGCGGCAGCAACAGCAGCGTGCTGAGCGGTTGTAGCGGCTGTAGCACGACGAGCGGCAGCAGCATCATCACCCACGGCAGCATGGGCAGCAGCAGCATCAGCAGCAGCGGGAACAGCAGCAGCGGCAACAGCAGCGGGAGCAGCCTCATTTGGTGCCCTGAGTACCTTTCAGGCGGCAGTGGTGGTGGGGTATCGTCCGCCGGGGCAGCGGAAGGGAAGGGAGGGGGAGGCGGCGGAGGCGGAGGAGGGGGAAGTGAGCAGAAGGGCAAGTGGGAGCAGGGACTGGTGAGCGGAGTGGCAGGGGTTGTGGTGGAGGGCAACAGTAACGGTCCGCTTATAGAGCAGCTCAATAAGGAGAACCGCGGACTGAAGACGCTCGTCCGCTTCTTGCAGACGATGCTGGTGAAGCAGGAGGAGGAAGCGTCCCACATCAAACGCGAACTGGAAGAAGTGAGACGGAAAGCAGGGGTAGGCGCAGGCGCAGGGGCAGGGGCAGGGGCAGGGGTACAGGAAGTTACTCCGCTTAGCAGCCCTGCCAAGCCTGGCTCGGAGGCTCGGGCGCGGAAGCAGGCGGAGGAAGCCGCGAAGGCAGCTGCTTCGGGAGCTGCCGAGGCTGCACGAGCCGAAGCAGCAGCAGGAGCTGCGGAAGCGGAACGGGTGCAGTTACGGGCGCGGATTGAGTTTTTGGAGAGGGAATTGTGGGTTACAGAGGAGAGGCTGCGTCGAACGGAGGAGAAGGCAGCAAGGTTAGAGAGCCAGCTTGAGAGGTCCCAATCCGAAGCTGCTGCTGCCCGAGCCAATGCCGATGCTGCCCGCGGGGCTATTTCCGAGGCTGAACGCCGAGCCACCGAGGCAGAGCGCCGGGTCTCTGAGGCTACGGCTCGGGCATCCAGAGCTGAAACTGAGGCTCGGGTGTCGAAAGCGGAGGTTGAGGGTCGGATGTTCCGGTCTTCAGGGACTGATGCTGGCCAGGTTGCCAAAGCTGAGGCTCGGGCAGCAGAAGCCGAAGCTCGGGCAAAGGAAGCCGAGGCCCGGATAACGGACCTGGAGGCTCGGCACGAGGAGCTGACGCTTCAGCTACGGGCTGCGAAGGCCCGGACGGAAAAGCTGAGCATGCGGGTGGTGCATGCAGCACACGGTGACAAACGCCACGCGGAGGAATCAGCAGCGTTTGCAGAGGCGAAGCAGAAGACGTTGATCCAGCTGGCTGAAGAAGTGGAGGCGCTGAGAGATGAAGCGCGGGAGGCGAGAGCTGCTGCCAAGGCGAGGGAGAGGGAGGCTGCGAGGAGCAGAGAGGAGCTGGCGAAGGTGAAGCGATGGATGGCTGGACGGGCTGGGAGAGGGAGGGCGGCGGCAGCAGCTGGGGGGGAGAATGCATGGGGAGGAGTGGACAGTGCTGGGGGGATTGGAAGGGGTGGTGTGGGGGCAGGTGGGGGGAATTGTCAAGGGGAAGGGGTAATTGTAGGGGTTTCGGGTGGAGGGGGTAGCGGAGGAGGTGGTGGGGTAGGTAGGGATGGTGGGAGTGGGAGTGGCGAGGAGGATGGGGGTAGCCCTAGTGGACTGTGGGAGGGCCACCAGCAGGATTTGCGGTTTGGCGAGATGCTCTCGTGGCCGTTCGATCTTGTTCTGCCGTCGAAGTTTCTCGGGAGCGGGTATCAGAATCCCTGACTGCGCGTATAGACAACGTTGGGTGTACCGAAGTTAGGTGGTGTACTGGAGGAAGCTGGGTGAGGCGCTCTAGTAATCGTGGTGGTGACTGCAGGGGTGCATTTGATAAGTGAGATGGGCCCAGCTGCAGGTAACAATCTTGTCCTTATTGCACTATCTTGTGCATTCAAGAGGGCAATAACTAATAACCTTATCTGACCTGGAAACTTCCAAGGTTGCAGGTGTTACTGACTTCACTGACTTCCTCTAAACTTTGTTACCAATGTCTCTCATTTGTAACTTGATTATTGCTAATACCTGTTCGGATAGATCGGTGTATGTCAACAATAATAACGTAAGTAGTTTCACGCTCACTGCGCACCGATGTTGTGGAACATCTCAATTGCCGCATCGTGCGCTGACGGGCATGCCAAAGCCTCTAGTGGGTTGGCATGTGTATTCCCAGAAATGTGGATCGTATTCGTTTGGTTGGAGAGATCCCACAACTGAAAGTCGTGCTGCTCGCATTTGTTCGCACATGGCACCGACATTTTTCATTGATAGCCTTCTCTCCCTGGGGCGAGGAACCGAAAGCATGAACGAAACGGTAACTACCAGCCATCACAAGTTGGAGAATCCGGAACCGCGTGCGGTGCCCCCGGTCCGACAATTGACGTTGACGGAAAATGTATGCGATTCAGTCGCCGCAACCCGCGCTCACCCTCGAAACTGGTCAGGTGCCAAGAAGAAGCTTCGAAGATTTCCGGAGCTCGACTTTCGTGTTGAAACACGTCTCCGAGCCTCAGTTCGTGGCCCGGCGGAACAATTAGGCTGCCGTGGCACCTTGGCATGGGTAAGACATGCACATGAAAGTATTTTGGAAACGGCAACAGCGACTCGGTTTCCCAAACACCTGATAACCTGCTGACTTCAGGTTTCTTCTTGGGCACCACAGCGCTTCGTTTCACTTCTCGCCCAGGCTCACACCTGTCAACTCTGAGCATGTTTCCGAATCAAACGCCACGGTGTGTTGCGTTTCAGAACGGTAATATTTAACGGGATCCGTCTGTACACTCAGCTGGAGAAGGCTCTGGAGTCGCATACAATAGAGTACAGTAAACATCAACAACGCACACTGTAGATAGAACAGAATAAATTACACATGATGCTCAGCTGTTGCACGCACATTTGGTCTTTGCGTATTCGACAGCCTGCCTAATTGCATTTGGTACCAGCCAGTTGCACGCACAATACAAGCCCATGTTTTGATCGCAGCCGTTGAACATACAGCTTATCTCGCTGGCATCTGTCCGTTCGTGAGATATTTTGAAGGCGCTAGTTACATTTCTTCACCTGCCCACTACAGTCCCGATTTTTCCCGTGGCGAATGTTGGCGAGCAGGCGAAAAAGCTGGTGCTCACTAAACACCTAAATGACGAGAAAAGTTGTGGGTACTTAGCGGGCATCATGTGTACCCACTTCACCACCATTCGGTGGTGTACGGCGATTTGCTGGTGTATCTCCCCTCCCCTCCTCATCCCAGGACTGATAGCCAGAGAATGGGATGGAAAGGAAAGGACCGATCATCATGGGATGGTGGACAGACAGTGCATGTGTGTGTGTGGGCTGTTTCGATTTCCTGACTCATGCGGCATAACCGTGACCCCGAAGCTCAGTAGCTTGTGTGTGCCATGTCGTGTCGTGGCCCATGACCCAAAGCTCTCGTGGTGGGGTTGGTGGAACCTTGACCATATGCCCTTCTCTCTCTGCGAGCCGCTCCTCTCGTTCGAAACCTACGGAATTGCTTAGTTGCGAAGCAGTTTTAGGGTTTCACCGTTCTAGTTGGTAGTGCTTACAGTACTGGCTTCTGTATCCCGAAGCTTCTGTTCCAGAGTCCTACAGAGAGATCTTGCAAGCAGCTAAGCACACTCTACAGAAGATACCTGGGACAAGTCTCAGTGCTACGTAACCCATATGTACAACAGTTTGAAACGCGTTGCCGCATTTCGCTCCTCTTTCAAAGTTGCCTTGTACTAGGACGTGTCGCTTACTATTGATAGTTACGCCTCCCTGCGACCGAATCGCCTTGTCGCTTACTGTCGCGTCCGTGTGACCGATTGTCCTGTCGCTTACTGTCGGTTCTGTGCGACCGAGTCGCCAGTGTCAGTGAGAAACGAGCCTCTTCCCGAGCTTTTCAGTTCTCGGATTTGCGAAGCCTCCTTTTGTTGCGCCTAATGCATGGGCGTAGATGCTCACAGCAATATCGGGGATAAACTGGACCTGAGACTATCATCAACGTGCCATACGAGTTGGCAATATCGGGGATAAAATACACCTCGCGAGGGGCAACCGCACTTCACCATGACACGGAAATCCCAGACGGCACTGTTACCGCTGTTGATAACTCTGCTTGTTTCGGCGACCCTTGTAACGCGTACAAACACGGAATCGCAGCCGACCTCTTCCTCCTCCGCCGCCGCCTCGATCTCCCGCCACGTGTCGCTGGGGTCCGTGAGCTACAGCCGGCAGCTCTACACGGTGTACATGAAGGCGCTGCCGCCCGTGATAAGCTATCACGGCGGCGTGGACGGGCTACAGGCGACGGCTACAGCCGCTGCTACAGAGGAAGAGGAGGAGGAGGAAGAGGGAGAGGAGGCGGAGGAGGAGGAGGAGAGTGTAAGACTGGGAAACGAAAGAAGCAAACGAGGGGAGGCTGGTGATTACGATTATCGGGATTACTACGGGGATTATAGAGATAGTGATAGTAGCGACGGTGGTAACGAGAGAAGGGACGGTTACAAGGAAGGGGGCGATAGGTCGGTTAGGGATGCGATAAAAGATCGGAAGGGCGGTAGCGTGAGGGGCGAGAGGGGTGGCGAAGGAATTTCGGCTATGCAGATTGACGAAAGACGGTTACAAGACGAACTGTTACAGGAGGCACTGTTCGAGGAGGAGCCAGGGTTACAAGAGGAACCGTTACCCGCAGGAGACTCGCGAACAGAGGATTCGCGAGGTAGGAGGAAGCTGTTACAGGAGGGTGAACAAGATGTAGAAGCGAGTCACGCACTACCGAGACATACACAGCATCGTCGCCTAAGCGAAAGATGGTCACAAGGCGAAGGGTTACAAGACACCCGGTTTCGCAAGAGACGACTGCAGGAAAGACGGTTACGAGCTGGCGCGCTAATGGGCGGCAGCATTCGTCGGGGTTTGACAGGCAGCAGCGGGGAAAGCAAGGGGGGAAGCAGCAAGACGAGGGAGAGGGCCAAGGCGCATCGACCGGACCCGTCATCGCCGCACGTTAAGGCGTACGCGCAGCATTTAAGATCCACACACGAGGAGACCCTAGCAGACATCGGACTAAGCGGCTCGGACTTAGTCTATAGCTACCACTATGTGGCCAACGCGTTCGCGGTGCGCCTTACGTCCGACCAGGTCCGGTTATTAAAGCGGCATCCTGGCGTGCACCGCGTTTCGCGGATGCGATCGCTTCGACCAATGATGACGCACGTCCCGGAATTCCTGCAGCTGCCCCGGACCACGTGGGCCGCGTTTGGCGGCGCGAGATACGCTGGCGATAACACGGTAATCGGATTCGTCGACTCGGGGATATGGCCGCAGCATCCGTCGTTCTCGGGTCGCGGATATTCCGGGTCGCAACTTCTGACGGGGTGGCGCGGGGTTTGTAACGTCACGCGTGACTTTAACGGGTGTAACAATAAGATCGTCGGGGCGCGGTACTATATGGACGGGTTTCTACAAGAGTACGGCGCGGGCGCGTTGGCGAAGGGGGAGTACCGGTCGCCGCGCGACGCCATGGGACACGGCACGTTCTGCGCGGGGTGAGTCTTTGCGCGGGGGAAACCGGGCACCAGGCTCGGGGCACGGGGCACGCGGCACGGGGCGCGGGGCGCGGGGCACGGCGAAAAAGGGACGGATGGAGCTCCTGGTCATAGGGTACGGCACTTTCAGCGCTGGGTGATTCTTGGTGTGGCATGAAGCGCGGGTCGCGGGGCAATGGGGGGGTGGAATGCGGGGCACGGGGCACGCAACGCGGGAAATGGAGCAGGTGGCAGCGGGCAGCTCATGAGGCGCCTCAAAGGCAGCAGGCAGTCGACTTTTGAATCGAGTCAAGAATCGTCACCACGGGTGGCAGCAGGCAATTCCGTGTGTGATGAGGCGATTTTTGAGTCGACTTAAGAATCGTCTCATCACACACGGGGCAGGTAACGAGTGGCAACAGTCCGTCGCAAGCTAAGGAAGCTTCTTTCTTTCGCAGCTCGCTTTCTGTTCACTTGCTTCACGGCAGCGCGCGTGAAGGTGAATCACGGCCCCCCTGATTCCTCCAGCGGCGTAGCGCCTCCACGTCAGCGCCTCCGTCTCTCTTAACCTTATTCCCCCTCAACCCACCCCACAACTCTCTTCCCCCCCCGTCTCCTCTTCCCCTTCTCTCGTCTCCCCCAGCGTCGCGGCAGGGAATGCGGGAGTGAAGGTGAACTACGCCACTCTCGGGTCGCTCAGCGGAGTGGCGCCTCGCGCGCGCATCGCGGTGTACAAAGTGATTTGGGGCGGCATGAGCAGCCTTGCTGACGTCATGGCTGCTGTCGAAGACGCGGTGAAGGACGGGGTTGATGTGTTGTCCCTCGCGGTCGGCGGCACGGACGACAATTATTTCAACTCCATCTTTTTGTTACGCGCGGTTCAGGTGGGTGGATGGGTGTACCCCTCCCTAATCGGATATTCAAGCATTAACATACTTTCCTATACTATGTATTTATTGATTTTGTTCACAACTTTTATTTGTTTATTTTCTCTCTATCCATCCCTCGTTCTCTTTGCAGGCGGGTGTGCTGGTGGTGGCGCCAGCAGGCAACAACGGCCCTCCCCCAACGCCCACCTATTGGCGCACTCTAACGAATGTCGCCCCCTACATACTCACAGTCGGGGCAAGGTGAGACAGGCGGCGGAAGCAGGGGGGAGGGGAAAGCACGAGACAAGAAAGGGGCACGGGGTGGGTGCAGGATGGGAAAGAGGGGAGGGCGGGAGGAGGGAAGGATGGGAGTGGGGGAGGTGGGGAAGTGGGAAGCTGTGTGTGAGGGGACCAACAGTGACAAAGACGTGCAATAATGGATGTTCCTCTGGTTGGGGGACCAACAATGGTCCATCACCCTCACGCTCACCCTTGGCAGTGGAACTGTGCTTTTCGGGCTTACCCGGACCACTCCTCTCCCCGCAGTGCCACTGATCGCGAGTGGAGTGCTACTCTCACTCTCAGCAACGGCACCACGCTCTTCGGGGTCACTCAGACGGCTCTTTTCCCCCACCCTCCACAATCCCCCTCCCCGCCCTTCACCCCTTCCTCCCCTTCCTCCCAGTGCCACGGACCGCGAGTGGAGCGCCACGCTTACCCTCGGCAACGGCACCGCACTCTTCGGGGTCACTCAGACGGGCGGCGACGGCGTGCTAACCGCCAACCTCCCCCTCATCGACTCGGAAGAGGCCCATGCCAAAGGCGCCGCCCTTTGGGAGGCGCGGCAGTGCCGCCCGGGGAAGATCGACGCCGAGAAAGTGGGCGGCGGACTCGTCTTGTGTTATATCGGTGGGATCAGTCCGGAGAAGAAAGCGAGGACGGTTCAGGACGCAGGGGCGCGAGGCATGGTGCTTATACCGAGGAACTCTAACGAGAGCGTGCGCAGCGTGAGCGGGAATTTCCCGGTGATTTCCTTTGGGTACCCCAAGGGTGTGCTTATAAGGGATTACATCATGAAAACGGCGAGTCCCACTGCTACTCTCTCCCACCTCGTTTTGGAGCAGCCGAGAAAAGTCCGAGCGCCGATAATGGCATATTTCTCATCTTCTGGACCGCCGTACCGCCCAGGCTGGCCGTACCGGGCCCTTCCCACCATCACCAACGACGTCTTAAAGCCCGATTTAGTTGCTCCGGGATTGACTATCCTCGCTGCGGCGGCCTACGGAAACTCCCCGGGGTTCTCGATGCAATCTGGAACGTCGGTTTCGGCGGCGTGTGTGGCTGGGATCGCAGTGATGGTGATGCAGAAGCATCCCGATTGGACGCCGGCTGCGGTGAAATCCGCTCTCATGACCACAGCGCGAGTGAAAGACGCGTGGGGGCAGCCGATTCAAATGTCCACGTGGGTCGATGCGAATCCCTGGGTGACCGGATCGGGACACGTGGTTCCCTCGCGAGTTCTCAGCCCCGGATTGGTCTACGATGTCGGAATCGAGGGGTACATAAATTTTCTCGCGGGTCTTCGCTACGGGCTTACGAAGGGGATTTTTCGCCCGATAAAATTGGACCCGGTAAAGCCTTACATGCTCAACCAGCCAAACATTGTCGTCGCGCGGCTGAACAAGACGGTCCAGGTTACCCGGCGGGTTACCAACGTGGCGTTACGTGCTACGAAGTACACTTGCACACTTGAAGTGCCAGAAGGTACGGAGGTAAAAGTGATTCCTTCCCAGTTTACTATATATCCAAACCAAAGTGTTTGGTACTCGGTATGGATAACCCCAACAATAGCCAGAGCAAGGTTTTCTCCTGGTAGCATCACTTGGAGTGATGGGCTCCATGTAGTTAGATCGCAACTTGTAGTGCAGCCAATGCTGGGCATTGATTCATAATCATAGTGTTTGTTGGTGTGTCTATCATTGGGGTTAAAGATGATAGCTTGTACTGTGTACATGTGTTTAGCTTGTACCAGTTTGAAGCCCTGGGAAGAATGGCCTGTGCACTAAGCTACTGCAGAGATGCAAGACGAAACGATTTTAGCAACGGTACGGTATGATAAAATGCTAAGCATTTCTTACGGCACTCATGTCATGTTAGTACTGAACTGCATTTTCCGTTTCGCACATGTAACAGTGTACAAATCGAATCCCTATATCACATAAATGTCGCCATGTCATACAGGTCGACGTTCTCCAGGTTTCATACAAGCGTCTTCTTGCATTCTCTTCACACCAGCTCGTGTCGCATTTCTCGGAAAGAGGTTCTGGTTTATTACGGCAGCAGGCGACTCAAACGCCAAACTCCACAGGTGTGCATTTTAACCCCAACTCATTCCATTGCATGGACTAGCTATCCCCCTTTTTAGCTGCCTCGACTCTGTCCCGGTTGCGCACGAGCACGATGCGCTCCAGCACTCGCCGCGCCTCGCACTGAGGGAAGTTGGCGAGGTCGTAGTAGTGAGGGGCAATGTCCAACAGCCTGGTTGGGGTAGAGGAGAGATGAAAGAAGGGGAGTGGAGAGCAGCAGTGGAGGGAGTTGCAGAGAAGGTTGGGGTTCGCACTGAGGGAAGTTGGCCAGGTCGTAGTAGTGAGGGGCAATGTCCAACAGCCTGGTTGGGGTAGAGGGGTAAGAGGAGGTGCGGTTGGGGGAGAGAAGAGGTAGGTGCCGTGGATAGAGGATGAGACACTTCGGGGGTAGTTGGCAAAGTCGTATAAAAGTGGGGCGATGACCAGCAGCCTGGTGGTGAGGGTAGAGGGATTAGAGGAAGACGGGCAGATAGTTGCAAAAAAGATGCTGATTGCACTGAGGGAAGTTGGTCAAGTCGTAGTTGTGAGAGGGAGTGTCTGGCATGCAAAACCCCCACCTGTAAGCCCCTACCACCACCACACATGCACCACTCATCCCTAACTCCTCCTCGTACGCACCAGTCGCCCTTGACGTCGGTGACAACGCGGATGAAGTTCCGGGTGGTGAGCACAAACTCGTTGTAGATCACCCACTCTGGCTTGTGGGACAGGCCTGTTGACGGATGCAAATGCACGATCTGCAAAAGAGGGTGGGGAATGAGGGAGGAAGGGGCAAGGTGGGTGCGGAGAGGGGAGAACGACACAAGGGAGAGGTGAGAGCAGGGAGAGGGCCTGGTGAGCTCAAACTCGTTGTAGATCACCCACTGGGCTTGTCGAAAAGCCCTCTGGACGGATGCAGGTGCACGATCTGGCTTGTAGATCACAAACTGGGTGGTGAGCACAAACTCGTTGTAGATCACCCACTCTGGCTTGTGTGATAGGCCTGTTGATGGGTGCAGATACACAATTCGCAGAGGAGGGAGAGGTTGAGAGCAGTTGGAGAGCGAGAGGGCAGGGAGACAGCCTGGTGAGCACAAACTCGTTGTAGATCACCCACTCTGGCTTGTGGGACAGGCCTGTTGACGGATGCAGGTGCACGATCTGCAGTGGGAGAGGGGGGAGGGAAGAGGGGGGAGAGGGAGGTGGGTGAAAGCGGAGAGGCCACAAAGGAGAGGTGGGATGTTGAGATGAGACGAGACCTGGTAAATCAAACGAGCTTGCAGTGAACTAGGTGACTTTTGAGTCGACTCAAAGTCACCTCGTTAGTGGGTGAAAGCGGAGAGGACACAAAGGAGAGGTGGGATGTTGAGATGAGACGAGACCTGCGGAAGACAAACAAGCTTGCAGTGAACTCACATCAAGTGCTGCTCACCTAAGTACTCGTCACTAAGTGCTGCTCACTTAGTCACCAGGTAATCCTAATTGTTTGGCCCACCTGATTGTCCTTGACTGTCAAATAGTGCCCTGTCCTCTCCAAATGTGCCACCTGTGTGGGGTAGAGAGGAGGACAGGAGCGGGGTGCACGCATGGGGGAACAGCGGGAAGCCGGGGATGGATGGGGGAGAGCAGAAGGGACTGCTTATATGCTGTGTTCCAGAGACGTGGGCAAAGGTAAACGACATGCGGGGTTGAGGGAAATAAGATGCGGACAGAGGAAGGGGTGGGGGGATTGGGCAAGGGGAAGTGAAAGGAAAGGAGAGTGGGGGGCTGTAAAACAACAAGAAGAGAGTGGAGAGACGAAGAGGGAGGGGTAGGGGATGGGATGTGTGAAAAGGTTGCTAAGGTCTGGGAGAAGCACACACAGGCAGTCCAGGGAACCGGAGCAAGTACACACAGCTGCAGTTCCATCCTCCCTCCCACAATCTCCTAGCACACACGCAAGCACACACACATGCACACGCAAGCACACACACATGCACACGCAAGCGCACACACATGCACACGCAAGCACACACACATGCACACGCAAGCACACACACATGCACACGCAAGCACACACACATGCACACGCAAGCACACACACATGCACACGCAAGCACACACACATGCACACGCAAGCACACACACACACACCCACTCACGCACACATACACTCGCAGACACACGCACACACATCCACACACCCATGCACCCACACACACACCCCCCTCCCACCCCCACCACGTACATCCTCTCCCCTTTCCACCTCCTCTCCTCCCCTCCCCCAACCCAGCCACCTCCCTCCACTCCCTACCTGCATGAAGAATCCGGCCAAGAGAGCCTTGCGAATGTTGGGGTAGTAGGCGGACGACTCAAACGCCGTGGAGCACATCTTGAGCCCGTAGCGCATCATAATCCGCACCAGCTGGTTGCGCACATTGTCCGCCGCCTTGAGGGCCCGGGCGTTGACGAAGTTGTCGTAGCACCAGCTAGCGTCTTCGCCTGGTGGGAAAAGGGAGGGGGGAGGAGAGAAAGGAACAGGTGGGGAGTGTGCATGCACCAGCTGGTTGCGCACATTGTCCGCTGCCTTGAGCGCTCTGGCGTTCACAAAGTTGTCGTAGCACCAGCTAGCGTCTTCGCCTGGTGGTGGGTAAGGTTTGGTGGAGAGGGGAGCACATGGGAGCGCATGAGAATAAGGGTTTGCCTTGAGGGCTCTGGCGCTGACAAAGTTGTCGTAGCACCAACTAGCGTCTTCTCCTGGTGGTGTGGTGAGTAAGGAGGTGAATAAGGTATGGGAGTGACAGAGGGAGGGGAGCACATCTCGTGTCCGTAGCGCATCATGATGCGCACCAGCTGGTTCCGCACATCGACCACTGCCTTTAAAGCCCGTGCATTGACACAGTTGCCATGGCACCAGCTGGGGTCCTCGCTTGGTGGTGGGTAACGGAAGGGCTTGGCAGAGTGAGGGGAGTGTTGATTGACAGTGTACCGCATCCTGACCTCATGTGCCACCAGCAGAGTGAGTGAGGTGACTTTTGAGTCGACTCAAAAGTCATCTTGAGTGCGTACCGCATCCTCCTGACCTGATGTGCCAGTGCCACGAGCAGAGTGAGTGAGGTGGTCGCCATCCTTGTGGGAGAAAAGAAGTGTGCCTTAGATTCGCCCGCCAGCTTCCGACTCAACTCAAACGAACCACCAACTAACTCACACACAACGCACTGTCACTGAATCGCTCCTACACACATGTAGATCGTTTCAAGTCGCTCATCGTTCTGCTTGTACGCGTGGAAGGCGTTGAGGAGGGTGAGGTGGTCGCCATGCTCGTGATCGCCTCGTGAGGTGGTCGCCACTACAGACTCCCCAACCCCAAGTCGCTCACCGTTCTGCTTGTACGCGTGGAAGGCGTTGAGGAGGGTGAGGTGGTCGCCATCCTCGTGGGAGAAGAGAAGCGCGCCTTGCCTTGTCCGCCTGCCTCTGTCTCAAAAGCACCACCACTTCAATTCACACACACCCTGACCTGCCTGTACACTGTAAGACATTTCAACAGACCCACTCACCGTTCTGCTTGTAGGCGTGGAAAACGTTGAGGAGAGTGAGGTGGTCGCCGTCTTCGTGGGAGAAGCGCGCCTTGGCCTCATCCGCCTGCTTCTGCGCCTCCCGCGGGCGAATGAAGCAGTTGGGCACTGGCAAGGGCCGAAGAGGGTGGTTGATGCAGCGTGGGTGAGGTTGGCAGTTGGAGAAGGAAGAGGAGGA